GGATCCAATGGAAGTGACTCATGATTTAATTCCATTGAAACACTTTGAACAATTTAATCTCCTCTATCTCACCTCTATCTAAACCTAGATTAAGATGATTGCAATTTGATCCTAGTGATTTCACAATGATTTCACTGGAACTGAAATACAACCGAGACCGCTATCCTATAAGCCCATACCTGGATGGAAACTATATTGTGCTAATTCAGATACATGAGATCGCAATGTAAACACTACAGATTAGTATAAATATAAATAAGATCTTTGAAAGTGGGTTAGGAGTTTTATTTATGTATTCATTTATTGATCTCTCATTTTCAACATGGAATTTCCCCTCATTTTCTTTGACTAACTGCATACATTTTTTAAACGTGCATCCAACGTAACGTTCAGGGGTCATCTGTAGCCCTTAGCCTGAAAAGCACTGACTGGGGCCATTTAATTATTAGATGGAGTGATAGTAATTTTTATTAATGGGAATACAGAAATATTCTCTATTCTCTGAATCTGTATATTGCTTTCTTCACTCCTATTCCCACAGGATCTTTTTCAGACGGCACTATCCATTGGCTACCATCAGTTTTTGTGACATGGATCCTGAAAATCGAAAGTGAGTGCTCACACTACTCTTCAGTATAAATCTTATAGCAAGTGTTGAAGGTTGAGCTGATTTTCAGGGCATTTTCACACATATTTTCAAAGCAATTTGAAGATGTTCTGCACAAGAAAACTAGGAACAAGAAGCAAAGGATATCATTTAGTCATTGCCATTCCCTGAGCTGCAGCAGATCCTCATAACAAAAAATCCTCCACCCATCAGGGAAATTATAAAATAAATTGTTTGCATAATGTAGCCCATCTATGTCCTTACTTCATGTTCTGTGCATTTATTTGGTTGTATGCAAAAAACCAAAGTGATTTCAATCTTGGGAAGCTGCACAGCTGCTAATCCATCATTCCCTTAAAAGAGCTCCTCCTCAGATGGCTAATATCCGGGGACTAGGAGGTAAGGGAAATCAAGAGTTCACACAAATACAAAAATAGACCACCAACAAGCTCCACAGACCCTGCACACTTTTTTTTTTTTTTATGACTTGTTTTATTGCAGTTTCAAATATACCATAGCCGATCCAGTGCTTAGCTCCACTGCTGAACACAGATAAGGGCATTAGGACACTAATCCTGGAATGGCGCAAAAGCCCCATGTGGAAGAATCCTCAGTCCCTCCCATGATTTATTACCCATAAGTGCTTTGTTTTAGTAATGTATTTAATACATTTAATATGTCACCAATTATTAAGGTTACTTCTTTCTCTTCCCACATACATGGTCACTGGGGGCTAATGGTGCTATCTGTTATTTTCAAATGGGGCTATTTGTTTACCCACTTTATTTTTTGCCTGCATCTGGAAATAGTTCCCAATGAATTGTTTTATCTCCTTCAACATTAGCATAACAACAGAAGTGAGATCTTGATGGGGTATCTGGGACTGAAGCAATGATGACGTTGCTTCCACACTAGGATCTTTTAGCACTGCTGAAATGTTGCTTTTGCACAAGTTTAAGTAAATATGGCATTTAATTTTACTGCTGCATTTTTCCACTGCAAATTTATGGTGCCTGTCACATGATAAAAGCAAAAGTGTCTGGGTAATAATGATATATAATTGCAAGTCCACAGTCAGTGTACTGGGATCTACTTTCTAAGGAGCAAGAAAAAGGTAACAGATAATATACACTGTAGTGAGTGAAGAGATCTATGGTCTAGTAGTGGCATGCATCAAAACATAAAGCTTAATGGTACTTGGGACAGATCACAGCAGAATGATGGGGAGGAAGAAAGAAAAAAAGCCATAGCAATGACATTACAGCAGTTCTGTTTAAAAGCAACAAGAGAAGTGACTCCATTGTATTACTAAGATGGAAATAGTGATCAACATTACCCATACAAGATGCATCAACAGCATTTTGCTAGTCCAAAATTAAATACATTACAGTATTTAAATCAAGCCTTTAAAAAAAAATTGCAAACAAGGAAAATAGTTTCAGTGATTTGGTAGTAACCTTACCTGCTTTCTTCAACAACTGACTGAACCCATGATATCAATTTCAGCTTGAAGAGGCTTATATGAAAGGAACTTAAATCACTATCTAAACCAGATTTTCTTCTGCATGAATCTTTTCCATTTTTATTTAATATTAAACTATATATCCACAGGACCTGAAGTAATTTTGAAATCTATAGTGCTCAGTGATCTAGAAGAACCACAACACATAGCCCATCTATGGTGTTTCCATCTAGGCTTCCAATACAGATATTCAGTGTAGGAGATTCTGCTTTGTCCTTGGGTAAGATTCTGTTGGAAGCTACAGAAAGAAAGCACCTTAAATAGTAAAAGTGGTAAAAAGTCACACTGAACATGCGTTTATTTCTTAATGCAATATGACATTAAGATTGCAGGAAAAAGATCAAAATGTATAGAACACAATTGCCACAGTAAGAGACTGGGATTAAAAAAAAAAAAAATTCAAAACCTGGGAATGTTTCTCCTTTTTCCATCTCTTTTCACTAGGCATCTACCATAGTATAAAACTGAACCTAATAAGAACAATTTAAAGAAGTTAAGACTTTTTTGTTCATAACTATTTTAGTCATTTCTTTAAGTTACATTAAGAAAATGGTGTGGCTTACTGTATATTAAATCTAATATCTCTTTTTTGTTTTAAGGTGGCAAAAATTTTCCAAAACTTCAAGGTAAGCTATATGGATGGGATGAGTGTATAGTATGAGTATGAGTCTATATTCAATATATAGAAGCTAGATTATTAGGTGAGGAGCATCTGCTGGGTGGGGGAAATGGTCCAAAAATTTAAGATGGTGGCCTTGACTGAAAAATCAAAGCCCATCCCATTTTTACATGTGTTGCAGATATAATGCAGGTTAAAAAGAGGGGGAGGGCTTTGATTGTACAGTCATGGCCAGCAACTTGACTTTTTTGACACATATCCCCTTCCATAGACTTCCCTGAATTAGGTATTAGTCAGGGTTTTTTTTAAGCCACTGGCCAAGTAAAGGTTAAAAGGAAAAAGTCAGTCACAAAAATAGACCTTACTGGCATTGAAGCTGTATAAATGTTTCCTTGGTGAATCAACATCCACCTTCTAATACTGTTTACTACTTGAATATAAATTGCATTAATTGTAAAGGGCTTGCTTGTACATACTTGATTAACATTACAGCTCATCTCCCATTTTGTATTTATACTGTTCATTAATTTTGGATCTAAGCCTTAATTTTTATTTCTACACTCTGTTGCTTCTTAAATGGCTTACATAACGAATCAATGAAAGGAAAGAGGGAAATTGAACACATAAGATCAGTGAGTCAGCTTGGGTATTGTCTCTTCCCATTCCTTAGAGATCTCTGGCCCAGACTAGATGCCATGTGAACAAAGGATTAAAGTGCCTTTCATAGCATCCTGCCCCTCCTGTGGGCTACCAGAAGCAAAATACACTGTGTAAAAGAAAAGTAGTGCAATATAAAACCTTCTCTACCCTCTTATTGAAGCTGTTTCATCATTAGTCATGAATATAAAGTTGTAAATCTATTATTTCAAGAACTGCTTCCTGTCTGTCTTTCACCATAGAATCTTTGGTGTTGTTGCCAAGAGCCCAGCAGATTCTGAAAATATTTGCCACCTCTTTGCAGAATACGATGCAGTGCATCCAGCTTCTCACATAATTGACTTTATCAAGAAACTTCTGCTTGATGCCTAAGGCTGCCGCAGTGCTGAAATGTCTGTTTCCAGCAAATCCTTTGCCCTCTGTGCCAAGCAATGTTATCTCTTCAAGCTGCAGATTTTTCATTCCGAACAGTTTTGAAGCTGCAGATTGATCTTCCTCGATAGAATGCCAACCAGGATTGGTGGGTGTCAACCTTCATAATCTCCAGACAAAATATCATTGCTGGCTGGGAGTTGATCTATCAGGCTGTTTAATATCAGCTGTGTGTGTTACAGTAGAAAAGCTGCAGTGAGAAATGAGAGGACTTTGTGGGAATGGTTTAACAGAGAACCAGAAGCATTTTCTTATGTTCTGTCCTATCTACAAATAGGCCAGCTGTGTAATTTCTGGCCTTCTGTTTTCTCTAGAATAGTTTTTTACCTGCTTTATCAGAAACCTATCCTTCTTCATGGATACATGGATACATTTTACAAATGATGTTGCCTTTTTTTCTGCAACAACTGCAAGTATTGGGAATAAGATTGCTAACAGTGATGTAGTAGATTGTTAACACCAACATGTTGCCTATTCCAACATATTTTTGATATATATTATGTATTTCACTTCTTCATTTATTGTAATGGCCAATGGGGAAATCCAATAAACTAATTTTGCAAGCTACTGTTTTACTGAAATGAAATGGAAATTTAATGAACATTTTACCCTTAAAAAAATCCAGAGCAGAAATCTGTCTTAGCAATACCTACTGTGACTTCACCATTAATTAATGAAACAACTCTTCAAACTTATGTCTCCCCACTTTGTAAGGGAATTTTACATATCCAGGGTTTCAAAATCCTTCCCCCCCCCCCAACCTTTTCTTATCATTTCAGTCTTTGGGATTTCTACTCATACTCCCTTTTACTGGGCCACTGGCCTCAATAGTGCAACAGAGGATTATAATCACAGAGGATGTAATGAAAAAATACTTCTTAAGTGTTAAGAAAAGTGTGAATGAAAGAGCTGATAACTTCTTTCCATCCTGCCTTGGAACTTGCTATAACTGACTTGCATCAAGCACAGACATTCTGTGTGCTGCTGGAAAGAGTGAGAGGACAGGCAGTTTGAGCTGAAAATGTGACAAAATAGCTGCAAATTCTCCTTGACTGTACTGTAGATTCACGTGACATGAGAAGATGAGTCCAGGGCCTTAACTCTGAGAGGCCTAGTAACTGAATGCTCCTTTAAGTTTTGCTCTCCCCCTGAATTACATTCTTTCATTACAACCTATGTCATTATAATCCTCTGTTGCACTATTGAGGTCAATGGCCCAGTAAAAAGGGGACATGTGTGGAAACTCCAAAGACTGAAATGATCCTTGGAATTATATTTTCGTTTCCTAGTCTCCTTTGGTCATTTTAATTGTTGAACCATACTTTGGATGGGGGATCCTCCATGGGAAAGATGGTGTCATTACTTCCATCTTCTATCATGGCTGTTAGTAGCATTTTCTCAGGTGCACCAAAGAGTTCTCCCTCCGTGCTGTTAGACAGTCTTTCTGCTTGCCCAAGAGATCTGACTTCAGCTTATGTCCATGAAAGGAAAGGTGGAGTGGATCAGAAGAAGAGGAAAGGAAGGGTTTCATGATGAGGGTGCAGTGTAAGTCACAAAGGTAAGTCAGTTATTTTCACTGTAGCAAGACAATCACCTACCTACCATTGCACTGATTTCATTTATACTAAATTATCTTTTCCCATGCAAGAAAACGTAACTAATTTTAAAAACAATTATATGGCTCTGTCTCCTTCTCCCTTTATATAAGGAGAATATATATGCCTATGAATAGAGACAGATCCCAAGCTCACTGTAATTAATTGGATGGAGGCCAGTTAATTAAATCTCAGCCTAGGCAAGTCAATAGTATTGTTAATGCATGGTTTATCCAAATGAATGGTGCTCCACCTGTTGTGGAAATAGTTGCCCTCTTTACAAAGCAGCTTTCTACAACTTGAAAGCATCCTCATGAGGTGGACTTCAACTGTCAGTAATTACCAGCTAATATAGGACTTGGGCCAGCATATTGAGGAAGTGTCACGAGGTTAGGGAAGGCTGCCCTTTAGGAGCTTTTTCACAGCTTGTGGATATTGTATAGCATAGTTATCATTAGATGCTCAAGCACTTCTGTGCATGGAGCACTTTTTAACTCTTAGGCTAGTACGTCATCTATGACTTACTTAAATGAAGATGCTGATTAGGCTCACACTTAGTTCTATGTCATAGATTCATAAAGGTGCAAGTCGCCATCCTGATCAGGGAAATTAAAACATCCCAAATAGAGAGCTGTCTATGCTCCAATAAAGGGGAACCCACCTCCTTCTGCTGTCAAATTGTTCTTGTTTCTTCCAACATTCAATGAGAATCTGCCTTCCTGTCACTGAAATCCAGTACTCCATATCCTGCTTAAATATGGTTTGTTCAATAATCCACAAGTGGCAGAGTTCACAAATCACAGTAGCTGTAAGCATAATTCAGAAACTATAGTGACTGAGTTCTCACATTGCACTAAGCTAGGGGCAAGCAATCTTTTTGAGGTGGGAGATATTTGGAATTTTCAGACTATGTGGAAAAGGCCCACTCACAAAATTACTGACACAGGAAAGTGATTTGTTCACAAAATGTTGCCTCAATGGTTGTGGCCAATCAAAAAGTAGAATGCTTTCTACCCAGCTAAGCCATAGCTGAATAAGCTCAAGTCTATTGAAGGCCATTCTGAAGATGTCTCCAATTTCAGAAGCATGATAACTGGGATGTGGGGGAATGCCATTTCCTGCTTTGTTTCCCAATTAGAGGATGCGCTCCATCATGAATTGTGCTTGACCTTCTGCTCTCTCTGCCTTTAGAAGAGCCACCAACATGCTTGTCTTTTGCCAAGACTTTATTAATAATGTTAACATTGATTTATAATCTGTTGCTTCATTAAATTAATGAAAATATATTTATAAATGCAAGGTAAAGCTAAGAAAGCCATACTATGGCTTTGCATAATGTGTGATCCGTGATCTATGTTAGGCTCAGTTTAGCTTAACATCTGACCACGTACCTGCCATCTTGACTTCTTTTACCACCACTACCCTGCAGATGATCTCCATGGCTGCTCCTGAAGAATCTTTAGAAATCTCAGTTCATGCAAATCATGATAGCTCTGATGGCTCCCAGCTCATTTATTTTTATGCCCAGTTCATATTGCTAGAGGCAATAAGATGTCATGGTCTGGGACAATTAGTGGAAGGAGAGCCTCTTTCTGTATAAGCCTGAAATTGCTATGGAGGTCCTACTCTGAACACCACTGCATGCTGAAGTACTGCAATAGCTTCTCTGGGACGAGAGAACTTTTCACTGATCATCTCTTGCTCCCTTTTCCCAGCTGTAAAACAGGCCCTGCAAGAGATCCCCCTTATCCCCATTTTGTTATCTTTGGGGTACCAAGCAAATTCCATTTTATTCTCTAAAACTTCTTTATTCCTTTGTTCTGCTGTTGCATAACATTCTTTAGCAGTTATACCTCTGTGGTATATTTAGATTTTCTGGTGGTGCTTGTTTTAATCTCTGCTGATTTTAAACCACTGTGTTGTTTTATTATTTATGTATAAGGGGTATATGTGTTTCATTATGCATTGTCCTTAGAGCTATAAGGTAACTTTTAAAAATAAACTGAATAAATACACTTTTCCCCCAACTTGAACTCAACGCCGTGTGACTTCGTGAACACATCAATGTTGTTTTCTTGGCAACAACATGGAAGTGATTTGTCATGGCCTTCTTCCAGGAAAATAAACAAATATATAAACCAATAAAGTTTTCAGAATGAGATATAATTTTTGCTGAGTTTCCTGCTATGCTTTTTTTTTGTTTTTTATGTGTTATCAGCCCATCTGGAGTTTCTCAGCTATCAATAAAATGAGAGATTCTTCATACTGCAAAAATCCCTTTTAAAAATAATGACCCTACTAGCTGTTTAGAAGCTGTAACACATGAATTAGAAATAGAGCAGGGGACACCTCAGTTTTCTCTTTTATAAACAAGCTGGCTGGGGTACAATTCTTGAACAAATTCCATCCAGTTGTGTCCCCAAATCAGATACAGCTTAATCTTTACTACTAGACAGTATACCTCATTAAGAGTGGCAATAATTTAATGAGAAACAAGGAATTGTTTTCTTGGCTTCATTGATGGAAAAAACTGTATAGAGTAACTACTTAGTGAATCACTCCATAGCTTTTACTTCTTCCCCTCATTAAAACCACTTTGTTTAGATCACTGTTTCCTGCTGAGACTAAATTTATTAGTCCTAAACTGCAGAGGGTGCCAGTGAGTCAGATTTCCACTATATTCTACATTCACTCACTAGGTTGAACATTTAACAAGGTTTAAGTTCCTGCTGAACGCAGTCCGGTTTTGATTAAAGTAAAACCTCTTGTTGATGTTCAACTTTACTTTCTATTTTCTTTTTCTTTTTTCCCTTGTATTTTCTTTTTCCTGGCAGATCACAATCTGATTCTCTGAGGGAACCTGGGAAAGCCATGAACAAGGTTCTGCTTTTTAATTTACTCGTATTTATGACAACCCCACCCCATTAAAACACATTTATAATGGCAAAGGGGGCTATGATGAGGTGAACATTTTAGCTTCCTAGATATCAGTAGAATCAGAGGTTTTCTAGACTGGCTATTTTCCCTGACTTTCATTGTGGTCTTTTTTATGACTTAGATTAGGGTTCCTTTTCCTTGAATCTTCTTCCAAATTTGCAGATGAGGGGAATTTAGCATCTGTATTCAGGTTTCAGCCACAGAGGAGGGATACATGTTTATATAAAACTGCTCTGATCTTAGTTCTGTTTAGAAATAACTACTCATAAATTGAGAACTATAAAACACACACACACACACGTATGTATGTATATGTATATGTATCATTTTTTCAAGCCCTGGTCCAAGTTTTATTGATAATGGCTGGATAATGTTCTTCCAAGAACATCACAAGCACTATGTTAGTAATCTTTCCTAAAAGAGAAACAAGGGTAGATAAGAACTGTAATCTTCCCATTACAGATATTTTGCAGAACAATTCACAGGCCAGCAGAAATGCTGTTTTCCTCAACCTAAACGAAACTCCCAGAAATCCCCAGACAACAATAGTTGGCTATTGTTAAGAATTCTGGAAACTGAGGTCAATATATCCAGCCGGTGCCCAGGCAAGGGAAGGATGGCATAGAAGATTACTTAAAGGGTTCTTCCTCACATTGTGTTAAATGTAGGCTGAAGAGACCTTACTAACATTGTAGGTCATATTCTCACCTATGAAGGTAGGATACTTAAGAATTTGGCAGTTCCAGTTTAGAAGTAATATTTTGCCTCTGCTCCTGGGCACATCTTGCTCTATGAACAGTGAATGATGCCTTCACTGTGATGCTGGTGACTATGTGGTCAGGGGTTCAGTCCTGCTAGCTCCCACTGGCCAGCTGAAGCTCATGAAGACACAACCCCCTCTCCTCTGGCCACTGTTTCCTAGGGTTCTTCTGCTCAGACAGGGCCAGAATCCAGCTCTTTCAAGCTCCTTCCCTATATCAAATTACCATCACTTCCCACTTTTCCTGCCAGCTTGCCAGAACTCTCAGGGGGGCAAGAGACATTTGGAGTGAAATGACTTTAGTTAGTCCACCAGTCCTGCAAAGAGGGGTGGAAAAAAGGCATGGGGGAGAGGGCAAGTGTCTCTCTATCCCCCAGGTCTCCAATCCTACAAATCTGTCAGGCCTAGCCCAAAGAACT